TGTTTTGAGCACTTGTTCTGTACCTAGCATTTCAAACTTTTCACATATTCTTTCAGTCCTCACAATTCTCTGAAGTTAGGTGCATTAGTTTTTTAACCCTATATTACAGATTTCTCCAAAACTTACCATATTAAAACAATAGACAAGTATTGTTGTCCAGTTTTATGGGTCAGGAATCTGGGCTTAGCTTAAGTAAGCTCCTCTAGTTCAGAGTCTCTCACAGGCTACAATCAAGGTATCCAATGAGTCTATGATATCATTTCCAAGTTCAGCTTGGGAGGATCTGCTCCCAGGTTCACTCATATGGCAGTTGGCAGTCTCTAAATCCCCTTGACTGTTGCACAGAGTTGTTGGTTCCTTCCTACTTGGTCCTGCTCATGGGGTAGCTCAAAATATGGACGTAGTCTTCCTTCAGAGTAAGTGAACAAGAGAAGGTGTACTTAAAACCTACCTAATCTTTGAATTGAAATTTCAATCCTTCTGCCATATTCTATTTTCTAGAAGCAGTCACATATATTGTGACATACAGCCAAGGGAGGAAGGTGTGAATACTAGGAGTGAGGTAGCAGGATAGAGGGAACCTTAGAGGCTGCCTGCCACAGTAGAAATTGTTATTTTCCCCATTTTGCAGTTAAGACAATGAGGCATATAGAGGATAAATAACTAAGGTTACACAAGTGGTGGTGGAGTTGCTGCATTAAAACATAGGAGGTCTAACTGCAGCAGTTGATGTCATTGCTACTACACTACTGCCTCACAGTTAGAACATGGCTTGGATGAATTTCCTGAACTTAGGAGACAAGGGATGAGCCCAAGAGTGAAGGAATGACCAGGTACAGCATCTTAACCTTATCTTTGTCACTGCTACTGTTTTAGAATAAGATTAGAGAAGAAAAGCTAGCAGCTGCTTGGTCACAGTAGACTATATGGGGTCTTTCTTTTACCATTAAATTTAAAATACATGTAGGCTGGGGATATAGCTCAGAAGTAGAGCTCTTGTCTAGCATGTATACAGTTCTGGGTTTCTTGCCCAGCACTGCAAAAAACAAAAACAAAACTAATCAACCTCCAACATGTGACTAGTAGTAAAAAGCAATGCAAAAGAATAGAGTGCAAACTATGTGTCCTGAATACCTTTTCCCCTGGTACTTTCCTTCCCCCCACAGAAGCAAGACTTAGTACCAGTTTCTTGTGTGTCCATTATAGACATTTTATAATAAAACAGCCTTTCCTTTTTTTCTTTTTAAAAATGTCAACATAAGTGAAAAGGCAACCCACATGAGAGGAGATAGTTATAATATATGAATATGATGGAGACCTTGTGTAGTATTTATTAAAAAAATTCAACTCCACAAATCAAGAAGAAAAATACAGATAATCCAGTGTGAAAATGGAGAAAAATATTTCATAAAAGAGGAAAACCAGATGGCTAGTAAATGTATAGAAAGGTACTCAGGTTCGTTAATCATTAGAGAAGTGCATAGTGAAAAACACTGAAGTACTATCACAGCCTGCTAGGATGAACTTTTCTTTATTGCTATAAAGAATTTGGCAATTTTAATATGGCCAAATCTCATCTTCTGTGGTGTCTGAAATAATTTCATATAAGTTGTGAGATATAGATGCAAATTTATTTTTATTTCAGATGGATGTCCCAGTTTCTGATGTCATTTGTTGTATAATTTCCTTATCTTTTGTTTACCTTTATAACATACTGTATTCCTGTGTCACTGGCATCAGTTTCTAGACTTCTTTGTCTATTCATGAATCAATATAGTACTGAGTTGTTTTAACTTCTGTAGCTTTATAATTTGATTTAGTAGATAGTAGG